ACTGTCTTCTTGGCATTCTGTCAAGCATGCTCCTGTTTGCAGCCCTGGCTCCATCACAAGTTCAAATCATAGCCCATCATAATCCCAGTAATTAGACACAAGTTGGTTTGTTTTCAGTATATCCAAAAATATCATCTAGTTGTCCAAAGTATTCCCAGCATTTCATTGTATATGCATTTCTGGGTTAAAAGTCAAAGTAATTTGTGTAATTTTTGTTCCAGCTCTGTTTACTGGATAAACATTAAAATAACACAGAGCAGTGCAAAACTGACATTTGCAGCCCACTTTCAAAGACACCGGCAGCTATCTAGAAGTTGTAGATACCTAATGCAAAATACAGATACCTAGAAAACAGCTTGTGGTGCTAAGCTGGCTTAAGAGGCACCACATACTTCATGCAACAAGGTCTATGCTGCCTAGCTGAACCAGCCCCCTAAAATAAATAAATGTTCATTGCGCCCGGCCACAGCTGCTACACGTATGAGAGCAAACACCCCAAATCTCTGACAGAGTAAATGGATCATCTTCCTTCAGATGTTAACGTGTAACATGGAGCTTTGTATGTAACAGACCAGCAATGAACACATCTGCTTTCTAAACTACATGGAACAGATCCTGTACTTTTCTACACAAATTAGATCGACCATGTTGTGAAGCATTCTTGCTTCGTGTGCCTGAAGTTACTGATACCCAGCAATAAGCAATCATGTTACCTCTGTGTTTATCACTCAGCTCAGACTGCCCAGATCCATAATGGATATAACGTGAGAACGGTTGGAGTCGGAAAAAGAGGAACAGTTTATACAGACAGGACTGCCTCCTTTATTACAAAGAACTCTTTCCATAGTTTTAGCCTCCCGATCTATTTTTTCCTAACATAAACTACATCCTACATGGAAGTCAAGGAAAGCACTACTTCACATAAAACAGTTAACTTCCAGCCTAGAAGTTGGTGGCTTGCTATCAATTAGTGAATTTTTTTCCATCACTAGGCCTAAAGCAATGCACTGACCTCAAAGTGCTCTGACATGCTAACAAAACAAAGGAACAGCTATACTTGTGAGCCAAAGTTTCTATCAATTGATACACTTCTCTTCTAGCATGCTTAAAAAGGCCGAAGATTTGAAGTCCAGAAGGTTTCAGCTTCTGGAGAATCCTATACAACCCTTACAGATCTGCTTTCCAAAAGCTCCAAAATCCTGGACACCACAATACTCAGAAAATGCAAGAGGGGCAGCAGAATCAATGTGTTCAGAAGAGAAAGAAAACGATGGCAGCCATTCCCTCTCACCATAGGCAAGGGAGCTCCAGTATAAATGAAACAGGGAGGTACAAGAGGCACAGGTAGTTCAATGCGTAGTCAAAGGGCTCTGCTGCCAGTCCAAGAATGCGTTCTCCTCCTTCCCACTGACAAACATGTTTAATATTAAATGTATGTATAGAGTAGAACTAGGCCCAAGATGTATAAAGAACAGATGCACAGAGTCCAAGGTACACACCAGCCTCTCTGAGCACAGACAGCGTTGGTTCCCCAAGTGACATGCAGATCAGGCCTTTTGGCAGGACCGTGAATAGGATATTAAAAGATTTAGTACCAAATCTCTGCAAGAGACAAGCAGAGTAAGATATATATGCACCTTGCACAATATAATTACCAGCACTATACTTGTGAGAGCATACACACACACCTGAAAATGAAAACCAAGATGTACATTTCTTCAGTATAAGCATATGCAACGCCTGCCTCATCTAGCATTAGTGCCACCAGCTCAGAGAGCTGCAAAGTCATCAGGAAAGTAACAGACTCAAGTGTGCTCTGACTGCCTTTATGGAAGTCAGCTACTTCAAACTAAACAACACAAGTCTATAAACTTGCAATAATAAACTTACTCATACACGATTTTGACAAGACAGCCTTAAGAAGTAAATAGATCTTCTCGTACCAAGCCTAAAGGAGCAGCCGGCAACAGAGACTCCCTTATCTTTCAGATACATCTAACCAACTTAGAGGCATTACATTTCTGAGGTAATTTTGAGAGAAGTTTCAAACACAGGACAGACAATGTTCCTTCCCCTCTACCGCCCCATACACTGGTTGGATTTCCTGATGGCAACTCTTAGGTGTCAATTTCTATTTCCTTGGCGCCACCACGTGGCAAAAATATGTATTACCATTTAACATGCAAAAGCCACTTCCAGTTCATTCTAAAGAGAGAACACATTCTGCAAAGGCTGTACGCTGAAAGGCAATGTCACTTTGTACATATGTGTAAGCATATATGAATGCTGTGTTTCACTTTCAGATATTACAAAGGCTAATTTACACAAAATAGTCTAAAAATAATCACTGGCAGAAGATCATAGGCATTTTGTAACAATTGTACCATCCTTATCTTTGAAAGGAGCATGTTATTAGCCATGTGAAATACATAAGCAGGTGTTTAAATATCTGAAGTTATTAAAGTTGGGGTTTTTATTGCAACATACAGTGAATATTCACATATCAACACTAAACGTTGCGCTCAAAGTAGCTAGATTACAAAGCACAATACAGACAGTTATTCATGGGTTTTGTTGGGTTTGATTTTGGGTTGGGTTTGTTTGGGTTTTTTTACTGTCCTCATAGATCCTAAAGAGGCATATATTTTTAGGAAGGCATTTGAATCAGGCCTATCATTATAGAGAAGGACATCAGTGTCTCCTTGCCAGCTTGCAGAAGCTCCAAAGAGAAAGGACACAAGATGAGCTGGATCTAGCCAAATCTAGTGTAAGTGCCCAGCAGAGGACAAACATTCGTTTACTTTTCACCTCCACAGCCATGCAGGGTGACACAGGGAAAGGAGAAAGAGCTGACTGCTAAGAACTGGCCTGTGTACATTCATTTTCCCAAGGGATAAGATGCTAGTTAAAAAGCAACTCATTCCTGTTACTCCCTTCCCTGTGCTGTACAGATGTAATACCAGGGACTGCACAGAAAAAGTTGCAGGTGCTGGCTACACATCTCTTCATCCATCAGGAACACATCTACCCACACACACACACAGAGGTACCACCACTATAAATTTATTAATAACCCCCACTGTACTATCTGAGTGGCATCAGGAAAACAGGGCAGAATATCACATTTTTCTAAGACTCCTCTAATTTCTTCCTAGCCTAAAAAGCATGGATACCAGTGGGCAAGAGAAAAGGATTAGCAGTCATCTGATAAAGCTGGATGAGTAGCTAGTCAACAGCAAAGAAGCAAAAGTCCTTAAAGGAAATGTTAGCAAATCAAAAGCTTAATCCGCCCTAGTTTAACAAGTTACTACACATCAGTTGAGCAAGCCACCTACAACACATGCAAGAATGGCCTTTCAAAACTTCAAGGTAAACATATTACCATAAGGATCATCATGGATTCAAAGCCAACATGTTTAATCACTGCCACAAGTCAAATATGCATGCATAGTTACCACAGCTAACTGATGTGCAATAGCTTGACTTGCGTTCATGCCCTAACAGTTTGCAACTGTTTAATAAAGCAAGCTTTTTGAAGCTGAAACTCGAACGACATGTCAGTTTGAAACTGCATCATGGCAATCTTGCATCACAGCGAGAAGACAGAAGTCATTATGACAAAATACGATATTCTTCAGAAGACTATAACTGAATGGCACTGAGGTCTATGAATAAGTGCATTAGTAAAGAAAGAGTAACTCGGCTCTCCAACAGAAGGATTGCCAGCGTATTCAATATCAAGAATGAAAAGCATTTTGATAACATAGGCCAAAAAATATAGTATGCTATTGAAAAGCCACAACAAGCAGCAAAGCAGTAACCCTACTGACATCACTGGGACTTGAAAAAGAGAGGTAGATCTACTTTTGCCAAAAAGTAAAAAGACACTTTCAAGCAAAGGCTATGCACGTATCTTGGCCCACGCCTCCCGTTTTCGTCAGTACCTTATCCACTATTTTTTGCCAGGACCCATTAAAGCAGCTCAGCAGGTAACTTTCATTTCTAGAACTCTTCAGAGGGTCTGGACCACTGCTGTGCATCCTACTGAGATGCAGCAAATGCTTCTGCTTGTTTGTGCTTTAGGACATTAGTACTGAAGTTCGGCTCTGGAGCAGCATAATGCACCTGTGCTGTATACCATCAAACAAAGCCACAATTCTAATCTTACTCATTTGACCTGTGTGGGACAGAAGCACAATACACAGACCCTGAATCTTTTCCTGTGCCTTATAGTTTTAAGCCGTTGTTGGACAAAATGTAAATATGTAAGGTTATCACTCTAGATTCTCAAGAACTAGAGAAGGAAGGGGAAAAAAAATTATTCCTTGACTGACAAGGTGCAAGGAGACACCACAGAAATTCACATGTAGTTGCATCTGGTCAGTTAATAACAGCTTTTGCAGACATATATTGACACACCAAAGTCTTCTGGAAAAAAAAAAAATCCTGTTGCCCTCCAGCAGTGCAGGCATGTAAGTTTGAATGCATCCTTTAGCTAGAAAAGGAGAACAGTTTAGTGGAAGAAGCAAGAGGCTGTGAGCCAAGAATAGTTCTAATCCTGTTGTGACTGGGAAGTTAACCTGAGTCTGCCTCTCCCCATGCGTAAAATGGGGATAATTAATCCTCACTTAACCATGTAAATTAAATAATGTTTCAACAGTGCTGCAAGTGCCACATATTAATTAATGCCTAGGTAATAAAAAGGAAAGAGACAGAAGTGGAGCACTTTGCTACTTACCTGCAAGTCGGAGGTTGCGCTGCAATTTTAAAAGAGGAGATACTTGGCACTTGGAAGATGAGACCCTAAATTATCATCCAGTCTTAGAGAGAAAGATTTCTCTCGCTCCCATGCACACAGCAGCTATCAAGCACATGAAAGCCAGGCACACATTCTGTATTTCATATGACCCGTTCGCAACACCATAAGCTGATGTTAACTAAGGAAACACCACAAATACCCATAACCAAAGGTAAGGCAAACATAGTGGGAAGATCCATACCTTGAACACCTTCCAGAAGCAGATCAACCCCCTTTCTATAGAAGCTGAAGGCAGTTTCATAATCTTCTTCCTCCTCCTTCTTCAAGGCCAGTTTTATCAACTCGCCTGCTTTCTCCAAGTAATCTTGTTTGCCAGGCTTGGGTTTTAAGCTTCCAGTAAACAAACCATGGCTTTCCCTCTCTCCCTCGGGTTTGCTCCACTCCTGCTCAGGTGCCAGCGTGCTTTGCATTGGGGGTTCAGAAGTAAGGGAGAGGCCAACAGCTCTACTGGGAGAACTTTGGTTGGATGCCATTCCATCATCTAACTCAGCAAGAGAGTCTATATCGACTGTCAGAGAGATCAGGTCGCTGTCACTGGAGAGGCCTGAAAGCACAACCAGAAAGACATCCATTACTCTAGATTTCTCATATACCTTAGGAACGTCCAAAATTCTTAATCCCATCCAAAAATTTTAGCTTTCTTCTCACTTATGCAGCTTCCTGAGACTTTGTGCACAGAAATTCCCTGCAAGTAAAGCTATCTTAAAAATTATTACCTATAGAAACATGGGGTTTAAAGTTAGCTACAAACTCCACAGAGCAAGTCCAAATACTGGGAGTGAAGAGATCAACATCTAACACCCAGCTTAAACTTTCAAAGCCTGCACAGCATTAGGGTCCAGGAAAATTACTCTGTGTGAGTGCTATCAGAAAACTCAACCAGCAAGAGTCAGACTACTTTTGCAAGAATTCCCAACATACTGGTTTAAATCAGCTTCCCAAACCCAGTAAATTAGGAGTTGGAATTAACACAGAGTTACAGTCAGCTTATGCATTATGCAGCACTCCAACTCACATCTACCACATATACTCTTCTTTCATTGCTAACACATGGTAAAATGAATTAGCTTACCACTTTCACTGAAGCTTGAGTAACATTTTATTTTACATTTGCCATAAGCTAAAAGCATATATATTACTGCAAGCTGACCATCAGTAACTAAATCACAGCACCTCAGCATTGTTATTTGGAAATAAACGGCTACAAAAGACATTTCACACATACACCATTTCATTCTGTACGGATTACCATCCACAAAGAGTCCTCACTCATAATTATGAATTTCTAAGAATTTAAATTCCACAAATGTAATGGAAACAACTTCTAGATCTCACCTCCACATTCCGATTGGCTCGTAAGTGTCACATCATCAAGCCCACTTAAATCCTTTCGAACTGAAAAGGACAAGAATGACAAAAATGTCTGACATTCTCTTGTACAACAGATTAGATGTTCACTTGCCATCAAAATGAAAGGGCATGACCCTACTACAGGTAAAAGCACATAATATGAAACTGGTCTTTGACTGGCTATCAGAGATACCCATTTGGTAATAGACCATTAAAATTGTGACAGTGGTATTAGGTTCACCGTTTCTCATTGCCTCTGAGGTTAAAAAACAAAACACAGATGCTTGCTTAGGGGGAGCTAATCCAAACCTCAGCACTCCAACTCACCTAATTTCAATAGCAGCAGCACTTTAATCCCTATCTCTCACTGCTCTGATGATTTACAGCTAAGGAGACTTAAAACAGGAGGGCCTTCAAAGCTGGGACCTACACACCAAGAAGAAGAAGAAGAAAAAAAAAAAAGCCAGCTTTCAGTCTCAAAAATGTCGTTCCATAAGAGTACCCTGCATGAGACATATGGAGTGAACCATAAATTTGGCAGTGCCACCTGGATATCAAGTAGCAGTTTGTTTTATCACCTTGGCACATGTATCCACTGAGGCAATAAAACAGGCAACAAGGTCAAGACATTTAGCTGTTTGAACACACAGAGAAAGTAAATTCTGAACTAAAACCTGGTGTCTGTTTTCTTTTGTATTATCAACAGAGTCAAGGGTTTACTACATTATCAGGTAAAGTGTTCTGACTTACCTGCAAAAAGTATGTGGCAGTAGCAAGGAGCTGACTCAAGAGTAACTAACTCAAACTTTCTTTTCAATTTTCCAAATCTAGAGTTAGAGGAAGTTTACAATTTATGGAACAGAAGTAAGAAGGCACTGTAGAAGTACTGCTTTTCTAAAACCTAGCAGTTACTTTAATGCAAGTTAAGAGGAAAAAGACATGAAGGAGAACAGATTACCAGCCATTCTCTTTGTCTGAAAAGCAAGGGATAGTGATACTTAGTGACACAAAACTACTTGAGAGGAGGGGACAGGGTCCACAGAAGACAATGCACCTGATCTTTTCAGGGGAGGGACATAAAGCAAAGTGTCCATGCAGAGAAGAAAACTGGCTGTGTAGACCCAAATCCTGCAAGAAAGTAGTCAACCTCACAACAGAACAGTTGGAGGGAGACGAAAGATTCATTAATTGGTGTATTAATAATGGGCCATTCACCTGCCCAATTTAGGAACAGCAATGTCAAATGTGGGCCCAGAGGACTGAGAAATTTATGAAACAACATTTAGAGGAGTCAAACTATCTTGTTCAGTGAAGAGAAATTGCTATCTGGGGGACGTGCAGGTGGAAGCAGAGCTGACTGATAGACAAAGGGTGCAGATGACGAATGGAAAAGCTGGGGGTTTGTGGGAAGGGTGCGCTGGCCACCCACACTAGATGAATTAGAGCACATCCACACAGCAGATTTCAGACAGACCTAAGTTCCCCTCCCTACAGCCCAAACAAAACCACGTTTGCTCTTCTCTTGCAGCCAACTTGACCAGAAGCTGTATGAACACAGCTAGTACGGCACAGAGCCTGAGCTAATAAACTTTGCTTAAGGGCAGGTTTAGAGTCCACGTCTGGCACCACACAACCACAGTCATGGGGCAGTCATGGGGCTTCCAATCAGCCTGAAGGGTAGGTAGAATGTGAACTGCATATGCCTATTTCTGGGAAGGTAATGTGAACATGGTAAAACAGAAGGAAGTGGGGAAAAAAAAAGAATTTAAAAAAAAAAAAAAAATATGAGCTTCCCAGTGCATTTCTCTAAAGAATTTGGCAATTGGTATAGAAAGACTTTTGGAGAAGAATTTGGACATACGAACATTATCCCATGTACCCAGAGAGGATGACAGAGTGGCTGTTTGTCAGGAATATTCAATGAGTATAATGATGCTGAAATTGAACATAAATTCCTGTCCTTGTCTCTGCCTTGTGCAACTTCACCAGGTGTACAAAGAGTAAACAGTTTCCAAAAATTGGTTGCAAGCCTGGGTAACCTAGCCTCTTGAAAAGCACGTTCCCACAAAAGCATGAACTGCCAAACTGCTGTTATAAGCAAGATACTTATTGCTTATTTTGGTTCAAAAACATTTCAACTGCCATCAGTTTGCATCTTCTACCATTAATGTGCACACCTTCTGCAGAGTGAACTTTGTCTGACAAGAACAGATAAAAGTGAGAAAACACAACCCACCCTTATAAGCAAACACCAGCACCTGCTAAGGAATGGGTTTGATACTTCTCAGTAAGAAGGAGCAGGGCCCACGTGGAGGCCCTTGAACATTCACAAAAACTAACACAGTGAACTAGTCACAGTTAACTACGATAATCAGACTGGGAAAAATTAGATGCAGGCAGGATGCCTTCAGGAGAGGCAGGGAGAGGACTCAGAGCCGAGTATTGCCACTGCCATCTAGAGGTCTTAAAGACAGGTGTTTCCTTCTGTCTCTAGACTACCCTCCACCCGACATTTGGGTTTGAACATAAGAAAATATGACCTGGAAGACACATTTTTAGAAAAAGGTAACTCCACAAAAGTCACATTTGGCATCAGAAATCCTGTGCTCATAGTTGTTGAAAGTATCCCCTAAAAGCACTCCAGACAATTCAGAAGAAGGGTATCAAATAATTTTTCTACTTTACAGCACTTTTTTTCTTTCCAATATTTTATCTCACATAAAGGAAGTGGTTTTCTTCTAAAAATGAGGCCCTTACGAATAAAGAATAGAAATGCTTATGTTAAGCATTTTTAGAAGCACTTTTCTTTTTCAGTGTAAACTGAGTGCATTGTCAAAATCTGGAATGTTAAATTTCACAGAAATAGTGCCCCTTTAAAACCAGTTACCTGTATTTATGATAACTACCCTCTGTAATTTAACAGCTCTATGCCTTCCCTTCACAGAACGAAGTATTGTGGGTGCATTAGTTCATCAACATCACAGAAGGTACTACAAAATAAATTGCAAAATTCACTGCACAGGTAGAACGTATTATAGAACTAAGTGCTTAGTTATTGACATTGAGAGATCCCAGGGGCAAGTCATACAACCTCAAGTGAAAAATAAACAAACAAACCACTATTAGAAAACACAAGCAGTTCTTGTTATTCAAGCAGAGTTTTAGCAAAGCAAGTTCTATGCCAGAGACTGACCCAAGAAAATTAAGTAGTTGAGGGGAAAAAAAACCCAAACAACCTCCTAAAATAAGCTTTGTAAGTGTTTATATAATATTGTATATTTATACATCAGTGTAAAACAGTTCCAAAGGAAAGTCTTAAGGGTTGGAAAAGAATTTCTTAGAAGTCACAAGGACTCAAACGTAACTCAGAAACATGTAAATATCTAAAAGATTGCATGGTACTTGGAAGATGATTATAAGCAGAGATGCTTAAGCTAGCCCAGCCTCCAGAAGCAAGAAAGAAGCCACAGCACACTATTTATTTGGGCTGACTGACCCTACCTTACAGCTATACTATTTAGTTCAATTGAAGTGCCACAATTACTCTGTATCTGGTATCCAAGCCAGCACATGGATCTCTACAGCGTGCTAAGGAAATGCAATCTTAAGATAAAAGGACGCACCCTCCATTGGCATAGCACAACCAGAAAACATGAGCAAGCTAAGGGAGGGATTTTCAGTTTTCAACTAAGCAATAGCCCACACTGGCTCTAACACGCAGCATCTCAGACTTTCATGAATAGGCAGTTCTTTTCAGGAAAAGAAAAAATGCTGGCAGTTTTCAGAAGAGACTTAACTTGCTTATGTCCCTGTGCCCTGCAGTAGGCTTTATCATTCCCCACTCCCATATGCTCAATTCAGAAGACATACTTAAACTTCTAAAATATGATATCGACTCTCTTCTGGATTTTCCTAAGCACTAAAAGAATGGTGACACCCAGAGCATGAACAGCTGATTAAGAACCCTCTGAACTGAATCTTAGACGTATTTTTCATGCTCTAGGCAAATTCAAGCAGTCATCTTTGTATTTATTGATCAATCTCAAAATGGTTTTAAAGTTCTCAGCAAATTTTTACAGCTAGAGACTTGCGTCATGGTTAGTTGTGAACACTACCACACTGTTTGCCCAACCTTTTGGAAGCAGGCAGAGGGTACAGTTCAGTTGGCACCAAAAGCACTTATTTTTGAGCAAAAGAGCGCTAGGACTTCTCAAATGCACTAGACAACTCCCAGAAAACTTCCTGTTAGAAGCAAACTTCCAGCAGTGCAGACAGAGCTGTGCTGAGCCCAACTTTTCTGTTGTTAATCCCAGCTCCAGCATCTTTTTCATACCAAGCAAAACAGAAACTGGATGCCAATGGTCCTACAAATATGGCACTTGTCAGGAACGTGCTGCTTTAAAACTGATCATGCTATAGGGTTACATGAGGAAAGAAAGCAAACCTTCAGAACTGCAGTCAGACAGGTTGTCTGTCAGAGAGTCAGACAGAGGCTCAACAGGACCAATCAGTTCAGACCCATCATGCACCTCTCCACCCTGAAAAGAAAGAGGGAAGGGAATTGTTTAGCTCCTGTGCTCTATGAAAAGTCTCATTACATAGAAGTGATACTCAAAATTATATTTCCTAACCAGTGAATGCTCCATTACTTTAGAGTTAATGCATTTAATTAAACCGTATAAGCCTGCAAAATTAAACCAAGGCTTTTGGTTAGGCTATGTTTGGTTGCCACAGACTGTCTAGGTATCCAAACAGCCTACTGCAGCTTCACAGCCCCAAACCATCCAGGCTGCAGCAGGTCTGCCTGCAAACCCCAGAGTTTAACAGGGAGAGAACAGTGATTCTACTGCTCTCTTGTGGTACATACAGTCTGTGCCCTTCAGTGGTGTTCCCTAGCTCAGCAGGTCCCCATGCAGGAGTGTTTGTCCATCAGACTCATGTCCCACACATGACCCACAAGGTTCAGTTCAGTCATAGTCAAGACTGGACAAACAGGGAAGATAAGGCTAGGCCAGCATATAAAGGGGATATTATTCCCTCTCAGGCCTGAAAGGAATCAAAAGTAAATGAAGTAACAACAGGAACAATTAATTGCACTAGAGACCACCTAAATGTTTTGGGGTTTGGTTTTTTTTTTTTTTATTTCTGCTTCACATCGCAGGTGCACATTTTCCACACAACGTTACTAGAAGCTGCATCATCTCCAAGGCAGTGTTACAAATGGGCACTGCTAACCTGTCTTGAACTAGCCCAGCACATTTTCACACTAGACAGCCCATTTTTCTGGAGCCTATAGTGCATAGACACACACAGAGTGCTCCCTTCAGCTGTTTCTAAGACTTCATTGTCCAAGTCTATCTCTCCATGGCTATTTGCACAAAAGTCTGAAATGGAATAAAACCACCTATGATCAGACCTAAAGGACACTGGCTGACACGGTGACTGATCAAAACCTAAGGCTTTCTTACAGGAAAACCATGACACAACATCAACTAACAAATGAGCCTAATTATTACACTTGCATAACTCTCCTCATAGACATACTTGCTCCTATAAAAATTAATGCCTTTCTAGTTTTATTCATTGCCTTACAAAGGCAGAAAAGGTCCACTGGAAGGCTAAAAATAATACTTTTGTTAAGCAAAGGAGGGGAAAAGAGCTCTGAACACATACAAAAAACACAGAGGTATTCCAAAGAACTAAAAAAGTACAAATGCAAATAAACTGAAAAGTAAAATATTCTAACTCAATCTCCCATTCATTGTTGCCACCAAAACTTAAAGAAAATTATTTTAAGTATTTTAAAGGGCTCTGCAATAACTGCATCATGAAAATAAGTGAAGATCTTTAAGCTTCGCTATAATTTTGCTTTTGCATACTTATCATTTAAATATACTTAACATGTCAATACATTTAAGTCCCATCTCAGCCAGATGAGCATTTCCTTAATTCCAGGGAGTTACTATCATGTTTACATGTAAACTTATGCTTTTGTGTTTGCAGAATGTTGGACTAAGCTACTGAAAATAAAGAGCTTTGAAGGAACTACTGAAAACAAACTGCTTCAGATGTAATAAAGAAGAAGTCTGGATCAACGTATTGTCCTAAACTGTGTTTTGGAGAGTGGTTCTCACAACACTGTACAAGCAGCACATTTGACTACTTATATGCCAAATTTGTTGTCACAGACCTGAATCCATTACAGGCCATAAGAAAACAGTTTAGAGAGTCTTCCTTCCTTTGGTTTGAAACTATAAACACCTACATAAAATATAGAAACAGTGACAATATTTTTATTACTTCCCCACTGAACACCTGGGTTTAACATCACGTTTTGCTCATCATTCAATAAACAAAAATTCCAAAGCCCTTCACCTGAAGTTCCTGTAAAACTTTCTACCTTGCAGAGGTGTGACATGAGGGCTTTTTAAAGCCACATTTCTAGAGTGAATAGAAAACTCCCAGTCACTTCACAAAGCAAGTCAGATCAGCTCACTGTCATTCCCCAGTTTATAGCGTAAAGCAGAATCAGCACTATACTTTATTCATATCAGTAAGAAGCAAACACTTCTGCAAATACTAACAAACCTTAAAAAATTCTTCAAGCTGTTTGCTGTTATAGAGAGCAGGGATATTGGCAGAAAACTGCAACAGATCTTCAGCACATTGCCTTCTTTCTTCAATCACAGTTTCATCAAATCGCCCTGGAACAGACACATAGATTGACAGTTTTAGAAATAACTACGCATTTATTCTGCAATAATAGCCACCACAAAAAAAAAACAAGACAAAAGCAACCTTCTGGAGACAATGCCCTGAGTCTATGAAAGTCATTCCAACGCTTCAGGAGAACATAGCAAATCTTCAAACTTCCTAGTCTCAATTGTCCCTAGAGTCTCGTCTTCTGCAATCCACTCAGATGATGAAAGCTGGCAGCTACGACAAGAATCCTTCGCCCTCTCATCGTAAGAATATGTGAGGCAACACTCTTGATTAGCCAAGAGACACTAACGGATGTCCAGTGTTATCTAACAATAAATGATACATGCACAATTTGACAATATGCCAGTCAGTGTCAGCCTTGATTACGGCCCAAATCCTGCAAGGAGCTGAGCATTCTTCGCATATTCTCAAGAACAACGCACAATATGAGCAGATAGTAAACGAAGTATTGCTAAAAGACCCCAAACAGATCATCAGTTCCAAGGTGCCAGTTATGGAGGAGACAGAGGGTAGGGGAGATGGTGAAGCCCTGCTACTGGGCACTGAAGCTTTCCTCTGAAGTAGCTCCATGCAGACAGGGTCTCATCTCCTCCTGGATTCAAGAGGTAAGCAGAGCTGGGAAGCAGCTCATTTACCAAAATATATGATCCTTCCCTTTCCCCTACCCAGCACCCAAGACATTCCAATTACAAAAAACATATTTAACAAACAATCCCACAGTTCACCTGAGAGATTTGCTTGTCAGGAGAAAGAACCCTTGGATTGCTACCTTAAATTCACATTCTTCACAATTGAACACAACTTCTTTTAGCTTTTCATATCAACATCACTTTGTTGTTGAAATAGTTACAAGTTTACAAAAGGAAAAGAGCAAAGGTTAACAGTAATAATTGGAGGAGAATGGAACAGATATTGGAACAGCTATACAGAGGAAAAAAAAAGGACTGGGAAGACAAGTTCAAGAAACAGTATTGCTATAACAGCATGACCAGAAAAATAAGAACCACCTGTGACAGCTCTGTGGCATTAACCTTTGAAGAGGACAAAAGAAACATTGAATACAGAAGCAAAATTCATTTATACTCAGAGCAAGCAAAAACATAATCCCAGAAGAAAGTATCAAAGCCAGATTCTTTCCAGAAATTCTTCAAGTAAATAGCTCCTGCCCATGTGGTACCAGAAAAAAGAAAATAAAACTAGAAAGACACACACATACTCACAAGATCACAAACAAAGCTTTTGAGGGTTATTCTTCCATGAAAGGAAAGGAAAGACATCATTAGGCTAATTTTCAGCTGGATCGGCTCGGTGACTTGTTCACCCTGCCCTTTCAGCTGTACAAACATTAGCAGCCGTACAAAAGAGCGAGCAACAAGCAAGCAGAAAGAAGGCAAAGGCAATGCTACCACATTGAGTGGCAACACTGAAATCAGGCTCTAGTAAACCATTCATCAAACTTCCTACGTCTTCAAAGCAACGCTGTGGGTGCATTAGGGCTTTTGTTTCATTCCACACAAAATGGGACACCATGAAAAAACAACTTCCCTCAGTAAAGCGCAGCAGCATAGGACAATTAAATGAATCTACAAAATAACATGAACACTGTTAGAATGAAACAGAAAATCAATTGCAAAGAAGTGGACACCGAACAAGGCCAGAAATGGGTAACTTTTGCAAGCAAGTAATTCTAAAAGGTATTTTTCCTGGTTTCCCAGAGATCTTTCTCTCCCCAATCTACTCCATCACCAAATCCAATAAAAACTAGTTTTCCTCATCCACATCTTCTCAATACTTCCACTGGGCAGCAGACAGGACGTGTCGGGACCAGCACTGCCAGGCTGACCAGCACTTGTCCACCGATTGTCCAGGCAGCTGCAAACCTCACAGGTATGAACTGAGCTTGCCTGGACCTTGGTAGCACCACAGCACGTGCTCTCTTCTTACTCAGCTGCTATTTCACAGACTTTGCAAAAATACAGTTACATTTGCAACAGCCTTCCCTCTCAAATTTAGCTGACAGTAGCCACATGAGTAAGAGGCTTGACTTTCTGAGAGCACAATTACATAAGCCTTATTTTCTTAGGAAGCTGAGCTAAAAAAGAAGTTAAAATACATGTTTGAACAGAGCCATTGAAACATTAATCAACGTCACATTTTCCCGCTCATCAGCATCACGACTCACTATCAAGACAGCCACTTATAGAACTAGAGGACCATGGGGGAAGGAAGAGCATCATTCAGTACTGGTTTGTTCACAGACTATCTGGCACCTTGCTGGCAGCTTCATACCCAGCCAACCGTGCCTATCCCCTTCCCCTTCTCCCTTTTTTCATACTTTCAAGCAATCTTGCATTGCTCAACCCTTTAGACACCCCACTGGCTCTTCAAACATTTCTATCAGGAAGACTTCCTGCATCTAAATAAATGTTATTTCCACTATTCTTTACATCTCTCAGCCACATGGAAACTTCATTATAGGGATCATGTCTTTCCAGGGTTATAAGAAGTGTCAACTACAATCTTAGCATAAAACAAATGCATTACCACGGTTCTCCTATTCCTCTAGCAATGATCCATTCACAGTTTATTATATATACAGAAAACAAGTGTAAATTCCTGTAAAGAGAATCCACAATTCATTTTATGGAGCAAATCCAAACACCACCACACCTAGCAATGTTTCTATTCACGTTTCAGTTTCTCACAAGACTTCCAACTGTACATGACACCTAATTTTTAAATATGCTACTTAATTTGGTATTTTCAAATGCAAAAAATACCCTTATCTGAGTTTTATAATGCGAATCATCTTCCTGACTCTGCTAGCAAGTTATCAATATCTGAGGTTTTTTGGTTTCTTTTTGTCAGGAGGGAGAGTATTTTTTTACACTAAAGTACCTTTCTGCAGTTATTAGCTACAAGAAATTATTAGTACAGATTTACCAGCTTTTTGGTAAAATGCCACTTATAGCTAACATATGGGAATACTTAAAGTGCCCAACAAAACAATAGGTTGAAAATACTGAAGAAATTATGTGGATGCATATTAGGGAAGGAGAGTAATCACTTCCCAGAAATAGGTATCATAGTTGCTGCATAATAATTCAGAGAAGCTTTAACAGCTGGATCTGTTAGGACATTTTAGATTCCCATGTTTGAGGTCATTATGCTTTCCCACTAAGATGGGTGGAAAAGGTTCAAGTGAAGTGCAGAAAAAGGTTTTTTCCCCACCTGTAACAAGTTTCACATTTTGATGCGAGCAGCTGTATTGTAACAGCATAAAAATACATGCACTTGCACATTATAATTATCAAAAGCTGGGGTGCAAAACATGCAATGCAGTTCAGTTCTGCAGATCTGGCAAGTCTTTGTTTGCACGAAATACGGAAGCACAGCATGACCCATTCATTTTTAAATACATCTCAGTTCTCAACACCATCTCCTGAAATCTGAGTGCTGAACTTGAGATTCTGCTCAGGTTTAATACTTCTGCTACAAGTCCAACTGTTAGAACCACCAATACCCATTTTGTAAAGTATACTCTCAGCAAAGCAATATGTGTGTGTTATTTAAAGCACTCAAAATAAAAAAAATAAAACAAAAAGAATCAACAAGTTGCCAGCAACTACTAGCAATGCTAATTAGTAACTAGTTCACAAGCTGCAACAAGTGGAACATCACCACAGGGAAGAAACACTGCAAAAATGCTCCATTAAAGCAGCTTGAAAACAAAAGATCTTAATAGAGATGGACCTTGCAGCTCACCATTAACTGACTGAGACTGAAAACAAGTTTGTCAAACTCAATCTATTAGAATTCCATTTTCCCTCTAGTACAAAAAAATACTAGGACTGATCTGAAGATAAATGCTTTAAAATAAAATAAAACACACAACAGCTATCACATGTAGAAGTGAGATGGAAGGATACACAGTAAAATTTTATGCTTTAAATAGAAAAATAATTCTGAAATTAGAGATGAGTCAGACACTTCTGTCTCTTTCAGCTATCCACCTATCATTTAAAATTTGTTTTTACATTACCTCCTCTTTCCTATATTCTTCTGTGGCTCAGCTTCATTCAAATGTAGTGAGTTTTCTTTTGGTTGATTTCTAATTTCAAAGTGCTTTTTGTAAATAACTGCACTGAACATTTCTGTAGATTTCCTTCTCTTACAATGTATATTGCAGCCACTTTTGTTCACCAAATACAATAGAAGGATGTCTTTCAGAAGGGATTTCACTCAATTCCCCCCTTGCTTACAGAGCTAGTGTAAAAACAGCTAATTTGCATTTCTGGCAATTTCATAGAATCATAGAATGTTTTGGGTTGGAAGGGACCCCTAGAGGTCATCTAGTCCAACCCCCCTGCTGTGAGCAGGGACACCACTAACTAGATCAGGTTGCTCAGAGCCCCGTCCAACCTGGCCTTGAATGCTTCCAGGGATGGGGCCTCCACTACCTCTCTGGGCAACCTGCTCCAGTGTTTCACCACCCTCATTGTAAAGAATTTCTTCCTTATATCCAGTCTAAACCTTCCCTGGTTTAGTTTAAAACCATTACCCCTTGTCCTGTCACAACTGGCCCTACTAAAATTGTTTAGGATATTAGAAACCCATGCTGTCTTCCACCCTGATTTTCTTTTCTTTTTACCCCTGTCTTTCCTCCACTATGAATAGCTACCATATCTTCTACCCGAAATTAAATTATGCTTTGCAAATATTAGCTTTTTAAATAACTTGTCCAATGACCGTTCTACTCTAAATCAGACAAAAATCATCTCAGGATAAAACTGACACTACATTCTCTATTTAATCATTGGTGCACAAATTCTGACATAGCACCAAAACTTACCCACTGCCAACTTCATTAATAAGAAAAAATAAAAAGACACAAAAATTGAATACAATTTAGCTGATGTGAAAGACTATTTAAACTAGGAATTTTAGCCAGCTCTGCACAGAGAACTACAAAATCTGCATCAGAGTTCAGCTTCCATGCCTCTCAACTTAGTTGGTCCACACAACAAGGGTCTAAGTCAGAGGCTCCCCCAAAGCTGTAGGAGCAGTTTGGACCTGGTTGATAAGCTCATTTCAACTTGTTCAAAGCTGTCTACGTTAGCATATCCTTTAGAGCACCTCAGTGCCATGCCTACATACAGAACAAGCACAGTAGCATTAAGCAGCAAAAATTACAAGTCTGTGGCAGTATTTGGTCCTGAAACATTAAAAGGAAAATTTGTGCGTTCCAGGCTGAGGTTTAGCCTCCAGGTGAGTTTCATACAGTTTCTCCGACACTCAGGAAGGGCAGCCAGCAAGTACTGCTATGGTACCACAACCCAGGGCAGTATTATAATGCTGTCACATAAAGTAGAAAAAAGAGCTGACTAAACAACCTCAATTTTGGCACTTTCCAAACTGACAAGCTTGACTACCCCAAAGCAATAGTAAATGCCAAAAAACCTGATGCCAAAAAGCATAATACACCAAAAAAGCACACTACAAAAAACCACCCCATACAACAAAAAAACTAAAAAAGCAGAAAACACACCAAAAAAATGCTAGGACACACAAAAGCACAAAAAAGCTTATGCTAAACACATGCAAAAATGCTAAAAATGTTTTTGCATATTTTTCCAGGTGTGGCACGTAGTCAACACGTGCCAAAAAACACCAAAAGCATACTGGATGCTAATGCTAAAACCATGACACAGGGAAAAAAACATCTAAAAGCATGCAATAGATGTATGCCAAAAAATGAGAAACAAACACTGGACTCTAAAACATGCTAATGTGAAACACACAGGAAAAACATGCACTAGATTCATGCCCAATGCTGCTAAAAGTACTACACACAAAAAACCTGCAAAGACAGGCACTAGATGCATGCCAAAACATACCAAACATGCTGAATGCTCAAAACACCACTGCAGCAATACCAAACGTGCCACAGCAATGCTTTAGGAACCAAAACCCACACTAAAAAAAACACACAAAATTCACACCAGAAACCTTGACAAAAAAGAAAAAGCACATGGTAGATGCAATCAAAAAAATGTAACAAACAGGCTGGACACTAAATACCATGCAAGATGCATACAAAACCCATAAACACAGGCTGGATGCTTAAAAACAAACAAAACAAAAAAAAAAACAACCACACTATACCAACTTGTAAACACCATGGAAAGGCCTTAATAACCCCAAAACACCTTAGACACTGAAAAGCCTACCCAAAAACACCTCAGAAACTGGAAAGCCTGTCAAAAAACACCTAAAAAAAAGCACATGGTAGACTCATGCCAAAAAAAAAATGCCAAACACATGTTGGAAGCTTAAAACCCCACTAAAACACCCAGTATTTGCACGCACTAGATGCATGCCAAAAAAACACCAAATATACTGGACACACACAAAAAATCACCAAATAACTCTTAGAAACCCACCGTAAATCATGCAGTATATGCACAAAAAAAATACCAAAAAAATCCTGAACTGAAACAATGCTGCAGCAATGCCCTAGGATCTGAAACCATACCTTAAAAATGCCCCAAATCCACACCAGAAACCTTGCCAAAAAAGACATCACATGGTAGATGCATGCCAAAAAACACCAAATATACTGGACACTAACCACCATGCAAGGTGCATACTAAACCCCATAAACATAGGCTGGATACTTAAGCAAAAAACAAAAAAAAATAGAACAAACACAAAACCAACTTGTAAACTCCATGGAAATGCCTTCCTTAGCAACCCCCAAAAAACACCCACAAACCAAAAAGTCCCCCCAAAACCCCTTAGAAACCAAAAACGGCATCAAAAAAGAGCATGTGGTAGATGCATGTCAAAAAACCACCAAATGTTGGATTCTTAAAAACCCGTTAAAATGCCCAATAATAGCATGTGGTAGATGCATGCAAGGAAACACCAAACACATGTTGGACACTTAAAAAAAAAAAAAAAACACAACAAAAAGCAACACCAAACCCATTCTGCACAGTTAGCAATACCTTAGAAACACCTCAGAAACACTCACAAAGCACGCAGTAGATACACATCAAAAAAACGCCAAATACGTTGGACACGTTAAAAAACACCTAAAAAAACACCAAAAATCATGCATTATATGCATGAAAAAAGCTACACCTGGGCACAAAAAAACCCATGCCACACTACCACCTTAGGAACCAAAAACCACACCAAAAAAAAGAGCAGAATTCACACCAGAAACCACACCAAAAAAGAAAGCACATGGTAGATGTTTGCCAACAAACACCAAACATGCTGGATATTCAAAACCACACAAGATACATAAAAAATAAAAACCCCGCAACCTCCTCCAAAAAAAAAGACCAAAGCAAACACAGGCTGGATGCTTAAAAAAAAAAAAAAAAAACCCACGCTAAAACAATTTGTCGATCCATGGAAATGCCTTAATAACCCCAAAAATGCCTTAGAAACTGAAAAGCCCATCAAAAAAAAGCACATGGCATATGCACACCAAAAAGCACCAAACACCTCCTGGACTGTCAGCAATGCCTCAGAAATGCCTTAGAAACACTCAAAAAAATAAGTGGTAGATGTATGACAAAAAAAGGCCAAACATGCTGGGCACTTAAAAACCCACAGAATATTGTGTGGTACATGCATGCCAAAACAAACACCAAAGAAATCCTAGACACAAAAAATGCCACAGCCATGCCTTAGGAACCAAAAAACACACATACAAAAAAAAGCCTGAAATCCACATCAGAAACCTTGCCAAAAAAAAACAACAGAGCATGTGGAAGATGCATGGCACAAAACACCAAACACCATGCTAGATGCACAGCAGAAAAAAGCATAAACAGAGGCAGGATGCTTTAAAAAAAATTAATGCACTAGAACAACTCATGAATGCCATGGAAATGCCTTGGTAACCCAGAAACCACAAAGCTCACCCAAAACCAAACCAAACCATGACTACATAGTAGCTGCATGAGAAGAAATGTGAAACAATTGTTGAACACTTTAAAAAAAGTTACAGTGCTCAGAAAAAAGGCTCAAAAGCATGTGGTAGATGCACGCCAAAAAGCACCAAACCCATTCTGGACAGTTAGCAATACCTTAGAAACACCTCAGAAACACTCAAAAAGCACGTGATCGATGCATGCAAAAAAGACGACAAACATGCTGGACACATTAAAAAATGCTGAAAAATGCTTAAAAATCCACTGGATATCGTGCAATATATGCATGACAAAAAACCACAAACAGTTTATGCTAAACAAAAAGAACATGCCCTTGAAAAAAAAGACATCACTAAAAAAGTGTGGTAGGTGGAGTTCTATATGGAGTCATACCACTTCACTGGAAGCCCACCTACAGCTCATTCATAAAGACATATACATCACGATTAAGTTAAGACCTTTGGCTTTTAAGAGCTAATTACTTTTTGCAATGTTTCTCATGTAGAGTCACAATCCTCTTACAGGTTGTTTTGGTGAAATAGTTAACTGCTATATGTAAAACTCATCTCAAAAGCCTAGCTAGATAAAATTAATAATTACAATCAAATTCCTAAAATAAAAAATTATTTTCTGCAACAACTGCTTGATACTTTACTATAACTTGTCATTAAAAAAAATCACAGACAGCTCATATGAAAATCTTTGTTCATTGTTTGAATGCTGTTCACAAAGTTAATAAAGACTTCGTGCTCCTGAAAACAGGGAATGTATGTTGTAAAGATACAGAACATACAAAGCAACAAATATCTGATATAATATCTCTAATATGGGAGCAAGGACATAAATACTCCTGTTAAAAAAATTGAATAAAAGTATCAAGCTATGATACCAGCACACCTACCAGTAAGACACAACAAACCCAAAAGTTGAGTAGTAAAAGCACATGGAAGAGTTCCATGCAGCTACAAAACAAGATATATTTATAGATACTGAGTTATCAAAGAATTTCATCAAGTCAGGAAGAAATTATGCTTACCAAATACTATTGCTTTGGCGAAAGGTGGAAAGAGTTCTGTATGTCTGCACAGGTTTTTATGAATTTGCCAGAGATCTTTGTGCAGTTTCTTAAAGTCACTGTATCTCTTCCAAACAACTATCTGAAGCAAAGAAAGGGGAGAGAAGTATTAGTGAGATTTATTGTTTGCATTGCACCACAAATATATTTTTTTAAGCAAATCAGACCACTACCTTCAGCAAGTATGTTTAACAAAAATGTACAAACTCAGCCAACCATAACAGCCATTAAAAAAATGATCATTATCTGTCCTCAACCCCCATTTTGTCTAACAAGACTACAGTGCATAGAACAAGATATTAAGTAAAAGCTGAAAGAAGGAAACAGAGAGGGCAAAGGCAGCACTGTTGCAGTCACAATGTGATCCAGAGCTACACGGGCAACCAGTAAGAGGAAGAAACACCGAAAAGCAGTGTTGCACTGCCTAATAGCATGCTATGCTTGGCGCAGCTGCAGCTATGGGGAAGAGACGCAACAGCAAAAGAGAAAATGAGGGAAGAGAAATCAATACAATTAAGGGATTCTTAAGGACAGCACATCAAACACCCAGGACTACAAACCAGCTCTTAATTTGTTTATGTAAAATGCTGATCAGGTGTAAATGCAAGCCCACATTTAAATGGTTTACTGCTAATAACCCTAATCAAAAATTGAGTATGTTTCTTTTGCAATCTAGACAAAATCTCCAACTTCAGGAATGCAAAGAGCATTGGTTCATTACACCAGCTTTTCCTGATCCATCCTTTCCAGAAAGCAGCAGTCATCTGCCAGTCCCGGTCCTCCCAGACAGGTATCTACCTTATCTTTCTTCCATCCCATTCTTTGGGGGGGGGAAGACCACAAAAGATGTCTCAGTTAGCTTAATGCAACTAACCACAGTTTAAGATTCCAAATATTTCTAACAGGTTGCCTTCTCATAACCGATCATAATTAAAAGTACCTTTTTCAAGGAAACCAGTAAAGTACCCAAGTAAAAGGTTTAATTTTAGAGGGGTGTTTTGTTCTATATTTGTTGGGGGCTGGGGGGGGGTGTTTGGGTTTTTTTAACACTAAGGTCAGAGGCTGCCTAATTTTCAGCAGATGCAAGTCCTACCTAGGTTACAGGAGTGTTAACAGTAGATATGAAAAGCTTTAATACGGCAACACTGTATAAACCTTATAACTTAGTTATACTGAAGCGAGCAGTCCTGATTCAGTCCACCTATCGGGCACACATTTGCAGGACTTGATTACAACTAGTACTTGGTAGAGTTCAACACACAAGGGAAGAAAAATGAGAATCTCTCAAGAAAGCTAAATCACTAGTTGGCCATCAGAAACAGTAACTTTTCAATGCTGTACTTCCATCTAATCCGATATCCAGAAAGTGAATGATAAGCACTTCTTGAGCAGTGTGCATATAGAACATAAAATCGCTTAAGATGGTGAAGTCTTAAAATATCAAGTTACTGTATTGTCAGTACTTGGAGACAACGTGAAAAGCTGCCAGAAAATAAGAGCATAAGATTCCATTCTACTAAAAGTATCATTTTTTACTGCTGAAAGTGCTCTCCCAGTAGCCAAGAAGAAAACAATAAATATCCCTAAGTAGCTTGCATAGCAAAAGCAGTCAAGGTCATCCTAAAACCTTTCACAGGCTCATGGAAATTATGCCTTTGCATGCATGCGACAGCAAAGTTAGCAAAGTTACCACTCTAACATACTTATTAGAAATCAGATTTGGAGGAAGGATACATTGTACTTTGAGGCCCAACGAAGCACAGCAAGTATATTGTAAAATATATGTTACACTTGTAATGCAATAAGGTGCTTGTCACAGCTAGAGCCAGTAGATCTATTAACTCATGCGACTCATCTGTTCACAATGAACAACCCTTTCTCCTCCATGAACAATTAAGAGCAAAAATCCCACAAGATTACCCTAGCTACAATTGCCTCACATGCCATGTTGCTACTATCAATCCCCAGAAGCAAGGAAATTAAAGTTAAGCCCGCTAGCCTTTCTGTTTCTATTAACTCCTCCACGCAGAACTTCACGTTAACTTCTTTCATCCTTTTGAGAAGAAAGGCCTTACAAGGTTATCTTCCCTCCTGTCCCAACAACCACAGCTGAGGACATCTTGAATTGAAATTGGCTGCCATGGGAGAGATGCTGTATTAAAGGCTTGTATCCCAAAGGGCAGTTAAAAGAGGTGACATAAAACCGGCAAGTAGAGGTCACAGTACACGGCCTCATGTACAGTTGTACATATGTAATGCATGTATTAACATCACAGCAGTGACATTAAAAGAAACTTCTGAATGACTAGGCAGGTACAGCTAAATCGTCCTATACAGGTGCAGGAAGGGCATTGCATGAGACAGAAAAACAAAGTGATTGTGAGCCCCAAATTTTGTCTATCGAATTTCTAATTGAGCATTTTGGAAAACTGAAGTAAACTGATTTTCAGTGGGAACAGATTAGGAGCATATTCTTTTTCTTTCAAAGGCTGCCCAGAATTCTTTTTCTATCATAGGAAGCCAGTATAACAGAACAGCTCCCAACTTACATGATTTTCTGACTGCAGTTCACCCTCATGGCAACTACCATCTGGGATATTCCTTTTAATAAGTAGGAACTTTCAGATGCTTGCTTATAACAGAATCACACCACACCTAACATGCTATCACATGCAAAATAATTAATTTAACACAGAGAAGGGTGGAAAAGGGCAATCATCAACAAGTTCATAGAACATTTAAATGTTCTTACAGACTAGTTTGTGGAATCCTGAATGGCTAACCTACCTCCACAGATCAATGCAATGACTAAAAGATATGCTTTTGCTATTGTTTCAAAACTACTCAACATATATTCATGCAACACCTCAGCTGAAAGACACTTACAATATATTTTTCTGATGAATGGCTCATCAACAGCTGCTATAAAGTGTTTTTCCAACAAATGAAGATTAAGGTAATGCAGAATGTGCTCATGGATAGGTTCAATTCAGGAGTGTCCCTGGAAAAGGTGAACATCAAGCTACAAACTACAGGAATGTAGTTCTAAAACTCGATCCATGATCATCTCTGATTCTGATAGGCTATTTTAATCTTCTAGAGATTTAAAAAAAAAGAAATGCAAAAAGCATGAATGCTCATGTTGTCTGATTCTCAAGATTTCAAAGAAGGATGCAAAAAAGGGGTGTTAGGTGTATCAGCCAATTCTCACCTCTGCCAAGCCACTAATCAGTAACTCATGTTTGACCACACAGAGATGAATGAATTCATTTATGAGCTCTTCTTTCATCAACTATCCAGGTTCTCCTCAACTGTAGTAAGAGACTGCACCAGAAATTGAACATACGCATATGTTACACAACGTCTGAAAAGCTATAAGGTTGTGCTTTTGAAGGAAGATTTTGCACGTACATAGTATAATAGTATCAATGTCAAGTCATTAGTCCAGAAGAAATCAAGAGTGGAAAAAGTATTTTAATCTAAAAAAAACAAAAAAAAACACCACAAAAAAAAAACCACACCAAACCCACAACCCACACATGATACATTTTTTTTGTCTCAATAAAATGGTTCCTGATGGTCTTTTGAGGTATTAAAGAGGCACAAGAACACAGCAGACCCTTATTCAGAGCCTTTTCAGAAGAGGCAGCGAGTAAGCAGTTTTGAAGTTTTATCAAAGTATACCACTGGAAAATACTTAAGGAGCCTCAGAGAGATAGCCATAATATAGGACTTGCAGTCTAATCTCGCTCAACTACTCCTACACTCCTCCATTTTCCCTCTTCACTAATAGACAGTAATGATGTAGGCTTTTCAGTGAAATATTGGTTAAAGAGGAAAAGAGCACCTACAGCTGAGACCCAAGACTTGGATTGTGGACTGATCTCTAATTTTACCAGCAGGAGTTAAGTAACCATCAGTTTGCCAATTCCAGCCCTGAGAAAAGCGCTTGAAAAGTTATCAAAGCAGTTTTGTCATCAAAAGACAATTTACTCCCTAAGACTTTGTTTCACGTCACGATTCATCACTGAGGGATGAATTGCAACATGTTACACTAGCTACTGTTTTCAACTATCAAAGCTAAAGACAAATGGAAACATACAAAAAACTGTTTTCTCTATTACAATGACAAAACACACAGAGATTGCTAAATTACATCAAAGATGCTTCAAAAGGCATAGTGATACACAAAGACATTTGCACAAGTTTAAACTGTTACCTCCTGGACATCCTCTGGATTTTTTCTTGAAACAATCTGAAAAGCAAAACAACAAAAACACGTAAGCGCTTGGATTTTCAGTTTGGAAGTTAGAGAGTAACATACAATGATTTGTTGCTGAAGAGAAAAATCTGGAAAATGGCAAATGGTTGCATGTTCCTCTGCACTCAGAAATGTTTTCATTTCATTTTAGAGAAGTCTAATATCCAAATACACGGTGAGGTATTTTAGCAGCAGAGTCAGTTGCTGTGATTAGAAATAGAGACGTGCATTCTAGGCAAAATGGCACAGAAGGCATCTCACAAAACAAAGCTATGTTGAGCACATCCCCCACCATCTTTCCAGTCTCTTCCTATTAATTCATATTACTCCCAATAAGCGGAGCTAATTAAGGCTACTTGGCTTAATATAAGCTGCACGCAACCTCACTGTGAATGTGAAGCTTTGCATTTACCAAGACAGTATTTCCGCTTTACTTACAGCTGACAATGCACACACGTCTGACTCTATCCATGTGTATTTCCTTCTCCTTAAACACTCTTTGCCTAATTAATTATAAATGACTTTGTCCAGAGGAAAATTCCAGTGAAAACGAGGCTTGGCTACACACCATTTTATCAGGATTTTTTTTCTTTAAATAAATATTGATCGCAAAAGCCTTTGTAATCCAAGTTCTGTATTGCGCTTATAAACAGCATTAAGAGCGTATCCACACAAACAAACAAATCAAAGACAGACATCTTTAATTCATAACTGCAATTATCTTATGCAAGTCAGTATATCCTTCATTATAACTCAGCCAAAGCTGTTTAACAAAATAATTAGCCTACTGTTAGTTAAAGCAAAATAAGGCACTCTCAATCCAAATCGAGACTTATCCACACGCTGACGCACCCCAGAATAATTCATGCTGTGAATAGGTGATGCATATAGGCAAGCGCAAGGAGTCCGTGCTACTTGCACCCCAGAGACTAAAACACCATCCCCCTGTACTGCAAGCACCACGCAGCTGTTGCTCTAAGATGGAAGTCACTGAATCTGCACTTGCCTCTTGCTAAGTGACAGTAACATACCCCTCATACTCCCCATAAACTAGCTCTCTTCCTCCCTTCCGTTTTTCAAGAATCCTTGCTAAAGCCTCCCAGATTTCGTAACATCAGTTTAGTACACAGACCAGCCACTGTAATCTTCCACACATTTTGGAGGAGGCAAGACAGAAAGAGAAGTGTTATCCTCTCTAGCAATCCCCCAAAAGACCTAAAACATTTTCCTTCACAAGTCTAAGTTCTTTCTCTCACCTTACACATCAAAGTCCTCTTCTTCCAGCGCAGTCTACACCTTCCTCAACTCTTCCTCACTCTTGAGTAATCTAACATTTGGCAACTTTACCAAATTTTAACCTTGGCGGCTATTGCTCCTTCATTTACTACCAGACAGTTCATATGTACAATTTGTGAAATATTTCTAACCTTCTTTCCTAATAGCTGGCGTACTTGATGCAAGGAGCCTGTAGAGCTGGGGGAAGAGGGTATCATAGGCATGGCTACACATCACAGAAGAACACCAAAGGGCACACACCAACTGCTTTGCTTTGCAGTTCACCTTTAGTTAAAGCCTTGCAACAGTTTTGGCAGCTAGGTAAGTTACCAGATGGGCAGAAGGAGACCCAGAGAGATGAGTAATTACCCAGCCAGTTAGTAAGAATCTGGAATAAAACCCAGAAGCCCTGTTTCACACTTGTTCTAACGTTACATCGCCTTCTATATCTACCAGCCATGCCAACTTTAAGTCAGTACACAATAATTTATGTGTTGTCCTACTTTGTTCTTCACACCCTTTTCTGAAGGTCAACCTTAGAAGAGTCTCCCTTCAATCCAACCTATAATCAACCTAGAGACTTGCCAAAGATGATCCAATCCCCCAAATTTTCAGTGCACTTTTTTAATCCTTCCACAAGGATCAATGCAGTCAGCTCCTTCTGCAAATCTGTAATGCAAGCAACTTCAATCTATTTTTTTTAAATATCATTAAAATACCCATCAATGAGCTAAGCAATGTATAAATACAGTGTTAGGCTCTGAAAACAGAGATCCTGCAAGGATCCTCACCATCAAAGTATTTCAGATAATCCTGTTCTTTGTCTGACCTGCAGATACTCAACGTAACTCGTTAGAATTTTCATTATCATTAACAACTGTAATTTTCTAGATTATCTGACCTTTTATTAGTGGCCTATATTTTCAGTTATCATTAAAGAACACTTCTAGTATCGCAACTTGCTGATACCTCTTTCTGTTCTTTAGCCTTTGGAAATGGATATTAAAAACAAGTCAATATTAATTTAATTTTGTCTGGACTTAAATTATTTCACGTTTTACAAGTAAAATATAAATTCTCTGCTATAGAAACAAAACCTTTAAGAAAAATCTGCAATAAGGATAAACCACCTTAGCACTCAGAAGAGACTGCACAGGTAGTTGTGCCTTTGTGTCAGATGTTTAGAACACACTAAACAAGTGCTTTCTCATCCATGATTATTAATCTATTATTATATTGGAACAGAAAGTTCCTTTAACTTTGTTTCACAAAGTATTCACTCATGCACCACTGAGAGGAACTAGCAATCTCCACTAGCATGTACTGAGTACCCTAGATCTCAGCCAGAAGGACATTCGATGCAATGGGAAGATCCACCGCGCTTTTTTCCTGGCGGGCCCCCAAAGCTGCTGAGCATCAAATCAGCAAATACAGCTGTAGTGCTGTGATATCAACAGCAGAGCCAGATCACTGCAGGAACAAGAGGGAGGAATAGGAGGAGAGAAAAACGGAGGGTAACAGACACATACACTGATTTATTTTTAAATTATTTTGTTTGGCATCTAACTCCCCAAATCCTCACTTCAAGTACTACGAGGCAGATGATCAGATAGAACCCTACTGAAACAAAGAAGTTATTTAGACTTCTACATTTGCGAATCCAAAGCATCCCTTGCTGCATAAAAAAGTAGTATTTTTTCACTTTGAGGATTTTAGATATCAAAGCACACTCAAGAACTAATGATACCTGCTTATATCTGTTTCATTTGGACAGCTCACAGACTGATCAGTGCCTTGCTCTGTACCAAACCACACGTAGTCAGCACACCGCGTGATTCTGCACTGCCTCGCTTGGAAAAAGCACCAGAACATCTACAACTTACGGGACATGGCGAAAGAGTGACATTCCTCACTGGTTGGCCACAACTTTTTCTTGAACAATTCTGCATAAACCAAACTGTCACAGGGCATTTTAACTTGCTTCAGCCAGCAAGAACAAAGTCACCAGAATAAAATAAACTTAAGTCTTGGTTCATTCCTATTACTCCCCATTGCACTGATGCAACTTTTTAACACACATACACTCTTAGCCCATCATGAGCTACCACAGGAAGACCTGAAGGCACTGTTTTCCTTGCGACTATCTCATGAAGGGCTTTTTAGAGTAAAACCTCCTAGGGAAAAACAACTTTCTTCTTTCCCCTCTTTAAAAAATACTAAATTTTATTGGACTAAAAAGAATGTTTTAAACATGTCCCATATTTGTGTTTCGTTGACTTGTATACATATATTGGACAAAAAAGTATTTGAAAAAGATTTTTAATTTCACAAGTCATGCAAAGCAATCACACTCGAACAACCTGAGATCTATAATATATATATACACACACAGAGAATGCTGTAGTCTTTGAATTAAGGGAAGGGTGTGCATAAACGTACATTGCTCTCATGGTCAGAACGTCTGGTGCGGCAGTAACAAGATTACAAGTCATTTAAATAAAGTCTGTCCCTCTGTGATACATTCTGATGCTCTCAATACATCCCACCGTACCTGTGACCCAAACTCCCACTCCTCTTGCACCTATCTCCACATATTTACTTACTGCCCCTCCCTCTTCTGCTTAAATAGGAGAGCAGAGGAGAAAAGAAAGCAAGAAATTTCCCTAGGGGAACAGAAGGAGCTTTCAGCAAAACCAGCACAAAGCCAGCTTTCCCAACA